CMCWCCCCMMCCCCCWRATARCASTTYTCCTGACACSCTAATTTYGATGAGAATGCACGTGCAATTTCCTTCCCCATCACASCCCCCTAACCCTTTCTTGATTTATATGCACAAACCTAGATTAACACAGACACGCAATCAGCTTCCAAAATGAGTACTAGGGAGTTATGGAYCATTATCATGTGATAATAAGGTCTTATATACTACACTGGGTGCGAAGTAGCGAAGTGATCATGTGAAATTAGTTAGTTGAGACATTTCGCATAAAAAATAGTGATATTACCGAAAGTATAAGTATTKTTATCACTGAAGAATATCGATAATTTTAGCAGAATAAGTAGCAAGTAAAGTGAATAAATGTTTCTTCCTCTGAAAACACAACGGCGCAAGAATTGTGACCCACAAGTCATTTCAATATAAACATTGCTAAAAACGATAAGAGTGACCTTTTCAACCAACGTGTGTGTGCAGCATTCAGCACCTGATTTATGTTGTTTATAAAAACACTTATAATTAAAATACACCCTACTAGTCTGATGACAGCAAGATCTGTCTTTTCAGTACATCTTTTAAATCAAATTTTATATTCTGGTAGAATTATTATGACAAAGAATGAACTGAAGTTAATGCCCATGATAAGAGACAAAGTTCATTTGACTATGATATTGAAATATCCTTTCGTCCGTTCATCTATTTTTTGTTTTCCTCTTTTCTCCCAGGTCCACCTGGACCAAAAGGAATTCCTGGAAATGATGGTAAGCAAGGACCAACTGGTAGTGGAGTGTCGTATGTACGGTGGGGGAGAGATGTATGTCCTGTTGGAACTGACCTCGTTTACAAAGGTGAGAACAGCTTTGTCACACACTTCACTTTCCAGGTTTCTGAGCTCGAGGAAACGTTAAGAAAAAAAGTTTAAAAACAAGACAATGTTCTCTGTTCCTTCTCCAGGGTTYACTGGTGGAGAACGCTTCACACATACTGGTGGAGGAGTCAACTATCTGTGCTTAACATCCAATCCAAAATACCTTAAATTCAAAAAGGGCTTTCAAAGTAGCGGCAGAATGTATGGCGCTGAATACGAAGTGAATACTAATGACGCCCTACTTCCCAGCAACCTTCACGATCACGACGCTCCGTGTRCTGTCTGTCACGTGACAACMCGAAGCTCCAAGCTGATGGTCCCTGGGACATACGAGTGTCCATCAGGGTGGCACCGAGAGTATTATGGGTAAGATAATGATGATTTAGATAATGATGATAATCATAGATGGTTGATAAAGTATTACCTTCACGATAAAAGGAAATAAAAAAATAAAGAGACGATTTGAGGACAAAAATCCATAACCTAGGCTATTTATCATAAACATAGCATGGGCGGATCCAGCTGTTGGGTGCAGGGGTTGCACCCCTCCCTGATAATCTGTAACCTTTATGGTAATGATGTTTGTGGGGTGCACCCATTACAGGAAGCCCCGCACCCCTCCCTGAGGAAAATCCTGCATCCGTCCCTGAATAGACATAATAAGTTTCGAGCTAGAGTATTTTAAAAGATATTATATCAACATGATATTCCAAGTGTTTTTTGACATCCATACAATAACATTATCATATACACATATCACAGCATCACGCAGCCACAACCATCCAATAACATAATGAATATGACCAAAACGGAGTTCATGTTAATAGGATCTAGTCAAAGACTGAAGACCCTTACGGCCTCCCCAACAGTTACAATAAACGGTATTCGAGTTAAACAAGTCGAGACTACAAAGTCACTCGGTGTGACAATTGATGATAAACTCAACTGGAAATGTCACATTGAAAATATTACAAAAAAGATCGCTTCGGGTATTGGGGCAATTAAACGTATGAGGCACCTGGTGCCTCAATCCACTTTAGAACAAATTTATCAAGGCCTGATTCAACCCCATTTTGAATACTGTAGCACTGTATGGGGGAGCTGTGGGGTAACCTTACAAGACAAATTACAAAAATTGCAAAACCGGGCAAGCCGGGTGGTGACATTTTCAGAATATGACGCTGATGCTAGCCAATTGCTCGAGGCCTTAAGCTGGAAATCACTTAAATGTCAGCGAAATTTACAAAACACCATAATGGTTTTTAAATGTCTCCACGGGCTTGCACCAGGTTATCTAGCTTCAAAATTTTCTTTCAAATCATCAAGCTATGAACTGAGAGACTCTCAGAACAAACTTACTGTTCCAAAACCGAGGACAAATTATTGTAAAAATAGTTTCAGTTATACGGGTGCCACGCTGTGGAATAGTCTTCCGCGTGAGGCAAGATGCTCAGAGTCTCTCGGATCTTTCAAACGCGCAATACACACGGCATTCACGGAAAGCAGCTTTTAATTCTAAACGTATTYAGCAATTAGATACTTATATTTATTAATAGTTTATTATAATAGTAATTTTAATTGTATATTATTGTCTTTTATTTAATATGTCACAGCTGATGAATTGTTCCGTGTATAAATAAAGTCTACTTACTTACTTACATTATTATATCTTTACAGATATCTGATGACGGCTTCACATGGTCATAAACACCCGTCTGACTTCATTTGTATGGACAAAGAAGCACAATCAAGAACTGGCAGCAATAATGGAAAGGATGGCGCCTTGTTGTACCCAGTCGAAGGAGTGTGTGGCTCGTTGCCTTGTGGACCGTACGTTAGTGGTTACGAACTGACATGCGCAGTGTGCACMAAGTAGATGTGACGTACCACGCAGTAGTGAACCTACTCTGTTAGTGTGATGTCAGATATATATTAAGATTAAAACAATATTTCTAATAATGATTACAAAATATAAAGGTGAAGGAATAAAGTTTGTATTACTACATCAGAACCTACAGTATTGACTTAATAAACAATCCCTGACATGATTCTATGCACTGAGATAATTCAAGTGATGTTACCCTTTCATTCAAAACTCCCAGATGTATCACATACATGTACTGATTTTCAATGATTTTCTTGGGCTATAGCCCATGCATTTTGATCAAAAATCGGTCATTTCTGGCTATTTTGGTGGGCTATAGTCCATGCATATTGATCAAAAATCGACCATTT